GGACATTAGGAATGCACAAGAACGAACAAACGTCGTGTATAAAATACATTGCAACAATTGTGAAATGAACTATGTGGGACAGACAGGAAGGAAACTATCCATAAGAATACAAGAACATCAGGGTGCTTGTAAAAAGCATTATGCATCGTCCCTTGTCTCAGCGCATGTGGATGAGGAGGGATATAGCTTCAATTGGAACAAAACAGTGATTTTAGCTCAAACAACAACACAGAAAGGAAGAGAGTTCCTAGAAGCATGGTAATCCTCTAATAATTCGATCAACATGCGCATCGACATCGACCCCCTGTACCATCAACTCAGAAAGAAAGATCTCCGGTGAATCGGGGACGTGGTTCAGCCGTGGAAGTAAATGAGCAGAGCTCACGTGGCGCAAATCGAAATCGCCACCTTCAAAAGTCACCTGGCCGTGGATGACGGACTGACAATTCCATAAGCAGCATTATACACTGCCTATAACTGCACTGAAGATGCCACCTCGTATGGTGGTGAAACGTATGCGATCTCTTAACCAAGCTCGGAAAAACGATCAACAGGTGAGCTCCATGTACCCCATTACCTTGTGGATCAGACTGTTGAGTCAAAGGCTAGTGGTAAGGCACCTCAAACAAAACCTCTCTCTCGGAGTGGGCAGCGGGAGGGTGTCGTTTGCTCTCTCGATCACGTCGTCAATACTCCCATACTTTTTGCTGTTCTCTTCTTCCCCTATATATATATATATATATATATATATATATATATATATATATATATATATATATATATATATATATATATATATATATACAACTTGGCCAATACACTTGGAAGACCGCCACAACACATGCGTATCCAACTTGGCATGCTTAATGTTCTTGAGCCCCAAACCTGGGAGTCCGGAGCGATCCACCATGGCCAACCGCAATGTCAGCTTCTTGACACCACGGACCCAAGTTGCATGTTGTCTACTTATCTGTCGTTTCCACCAAATGCCATCGCATTCAGGTAAAACGCAGTGGGGCAACCATTGAGCAGGCATGCTTAAGACGAGCTCGAGCCACCGGAGCACACACAAGGAACTTATGCAGCTCAGTGGTTGGATGATGCTGTCTGACTTGAAGATCCGACTTCCAACGTCATCTTTGCTAATGCGATGCTGCCGACGTATACCAGCGATGATCCGGAATCAGCAATGATCAGAAACAGACAGTCTTTAGACATCGCTCGCTCGAACGGACCGTCTCGCAGCCACGCAGGGGCACTGCTCATACCGTAGCGTTGTAGATTCGACCTTTTAGAGAAAGGTTAAGAGCACGCCGACGCCATCGATGTCAGAGGTTGGCAAAGGCTACTCTAGCTTTGGTGATGCGCAAAGTAATCTCATCCTTCAATCCACTCTGATACAACTCTTGAGGTAAAGGAACTTGTTGACTACTTCCAAAGAATAGCCGGAGAGCGTGAGGGTGGGAGCAGCTTCTAACCAATCCTGGCGCAAGACGTTGCATTTGCAAGGGGCATGGGTCATTCCGAACTGTGATGCATCCATCTAGACTGCGCAGCATCTCTTAGACAACCTGTGAGGAGTCACAGATTACAGCGATATCGTCGGCATACTCTGTCACGGAGCCGTATACCCGGGAGTAATTCGACGTCACCAGCGCCACGGTTACCCAGAGCACTCTCTAAGATGTCATCCATAGCAAAGTTGAACAAGTAGGGTGATGCGGGCCACTAGTGATACTAAAAGGGGTGAAAGTCCGCCGTACACCCGCCCTCGGTTCGAGAGTAAATTGCCTGAAGACTTAACCTAATTCACGAGCGTTCCCCTTCTCAACAGACAACTTCAGAAAGTAGCTCTGTCACCTGAGTCAAATGCTGCACATATGTGTCCAGGAAGCAATCGATGGTAGGCCGGATGAAACGTCTACGGTGCTCAAGTGTCAGGCCGATCGTAAAGTTGGGATCAATACAGCCCCGACCTGAGCTAAACCCAGTCTGTTCTTCACTTATGTTGTTCGCGCCCACAACCACTGTTTGCAACGCTTCTTCAAGTTGTCACCTCATTTGGTTATGCTTGGAAATGCTCACGCCTTCATCTTGTTAACGAGGTGCTTAAGCCGTTCGTTAAAATGCCACTCGCTAGTTCTTAGGTACCTCAAAAGTTGCATCCATAAGCAGTAAGGGAAACCGTTAAGCCCTTTCACATAAACAGTGCATCTTTTCGATCATCTTCTAATTCCTCACCAAATTCACTTGTCCAGATGTGTTTAACATAGCATCGTCATTGCTGACACTTAACCAGACAGCCGTAGCCGCGCATCTAAACTAAGGGTTAGTTGGTTTATCGCAATTAGATTACAAGCCACAAAGGTCAATTACCAATCCGGAAAAGCACCGGACGACCCTTTCGCCCTATTGGGTTCCTCGGCTACCCTTGTCTTCTCAGCAGATCTTAGATTCATGGCTCTTACGTCGCTAATTGTTACTCTGAGCCACTACTAACGACGATTGCCAACGTGACTATTTTGTCAGCCGTCAAATTTCAGCAGCTTGATCCATGTTAAATCAAGTCTAGAAATTGCTTTATGCACCCTTGGCGGGTGAATATTCAGCTACCAGACACATGATCCTAGCAATGTACCAAAATATCAGTCAATTACAAAACAGTATCGTAAAAGCGGTTTGATTAAGTATACACAAGGATGTCATCATACTTCGAATTGACTGGTTAAGTCTAGAACGACAAATTTGCTGTCTCGCAGAAAAAGCGAGGTAAAAATTGACCGCTGAACGGTACGTTTGCGTGTGAGAATATTTCAATTCGTACTTCTGCCTAGTAGACGAGGTTGACAGACATTCAAATAAATCATTATGAAGGGGATGACTTGTATTGATCAATATCTTAGATTCCATTTTCTTGCGAGAACTGGTGTGTATAGACAGAAATGTGTTGACAAAAGTAAGCCGCTACATAGGGATAAGGGCCGTAATGTCCTGACAACTAGCACAGTGCTTACTCATAAAACCTGGAAAAATCACAGGGGAGCAGTACCTTCAGTGGAGAAAATCATATGCACTGACAACGCAAAGGAACAACTCACGAGGGACAGAGGAGGCTCTTAAACGAGAGGCTTAGAATGACAACCTGATTTTTGTGGAAGTTTCGTTTACATGAAGAGTCCAAGATAAATCATAGTTCAGTATCACACCTAGGTACTTCACTGCGGTAACAGAGTGGAATCCCTCGCCGTCAGTAAGCAGTATGGGGCATTGTGTAATCAGGTGATCGTACCCAGCTCCTCGGTGTAGCGAAAAGAAGAATATCACAACACTTTAATTCATTTAGAGAGTGATAACGAGCTTTGTACCAAATACTTTGATCCTTTCAGATCGTCTTGCCACTTCAGTGAGGAATCGACGGTTTGATGACTGATACCCAGCACGATGTCGTTAGCATATTCTAGTAGGGTCGCTTCTGCAGGGGGGCTGTTATTGAGCTAACGTAGAGGAGAGAAAAGGTGACAGTATTGCTCCCTGAGGAACACCGGAGTTGCCTTTTAGTGGGGAGGAGCACCTGTCACTGAGTCGGATAATCTGAATACATCCAGCAAAATAGTCACTCAGCAAGTGGACGATTGAGGGATGTAATCCTTGAATGAGTATACCTTTTAAAAGCAGTTCGCGGTTTACATAACTAAATGCATTGCCATAATCAGGAAAACACATACGAGTTGATTAGTCTCTGTTGTCAAACGATGATGGTACCGAATGTAGACTTCGAATTATGATAAGCGAATTAAAAGTGGTAAATCAAGCGAGTTTGGGACAGCATCGTTTCAAGAACAGTAGTCCGATCCCGAGGCACGCCTTCGATCACACAGTGCACCAGTCACCATTGCGTGTATTCCCGATTGAATTTACTGGCCGGTTCATTCAACTGGAGGCGGTGTTTGCTATTGGTGACTATCTTTAGCACAACTGCATTGTGTTCATCCAGATTTCGTCAAGAGGCTTGCAAAACCGCCATAACGGTAGCATTGATATGTTTTATGCTAAACTACTCGTCTCCAGAGCAATTTTCCCGGCATATTGTTTATCATGTAGAAAAGATGATCCAATTTAACGTTAACATCTGTTTGCTGCACAGAGTCGTGTCCCCTTCACCGTACCCTGACTTGGTCGGATGGTATGAAGAGATTAAGTGAGCGCTTGAATCGGTTTATTGGCCTCGGTTTCCCCTGAATCTGCCACATCTAATGCTGAAGCATATGCTGCAGCTATTTGCTTCTCCTCACTGTTACCCTCTGCCCGCTGCTTACAACCACCCAGATTTACGTCCCATGGTCCTACTATTTTTCTCAATATTTTCCATCGGAACATCGCCTTTTCCCTTATTTGATGTCAGACATTCACGCTGTGATGCCGAGATCTTAATTCGTCGGCTAAATTAGCTGGCATAGGCCCACACTTCATAAACGTCATCACCTTCGGATCGACAGAATATGGTGTCGCACCACTGCTCCAGGACGCTCACTGCTCTACTTGACAACTTTCGTTGGCGTTTTTTGCACAATTTTCATATCTTCGTTCACCTACTTGTGCCACCACTTCCGTTTTCCTAATTTCCTATTGGTTAGCTTGTCTTTAGCTGCCTGCCGTTGGCTTCTTCAACGTCTTCTCGTATGATCTGCAACGCATACATTACTTGGTGCCTATGGGATCAACTGTCTACCGGCACATGATGATGGGCATTGCGCCTACAGACGTTTCGTCCCCAATGTAGGTGATGTCTAAAGAAATCACCTTTGTTTGTGATGGAACGTCTTCAAACGAACAAATCAGTATCTCGATTTGGGTTTGTTTTCACTGATCAGAGAACCCCCTACCGTTGTTCAAAGGCCGCCCACAACCTAGACTTCACTTGTTCACGTTTGCTTCTCTACACGTTTTTCAAAACCGCCTGACCTTATCCTTCGGTTTTCCATGTTTTCTTTCACCAACAGCCATCTTAGCTACCGTTGCAGCAGTCCTCATCCTGTGCGCCTCCGGGCTCATTGTCGTCGTGATCCTTCCACTGATGTCCCGCAGCTTCTATCACGTTATCACACAGTTTTTGATCGCCCTCTCGGTGGGCTCCCTGACTGGTGACGCATTTCTCCATCTGATTCCACACGTGAGTTCACCTATGTTCTCCTTGTTGTGTCGTGCCCTGCGGCTACTTTCATTCACAACCGATAGTGAGGCGACGAACGAGCGAGCACGAACAGGATTCGGGGGTCTCTTCATAGGGAAACGGCATCATTATGGGGCATGACGTGTACGTTAAAACCAACCAGAGCACTGGAACCGTGCGAACTGACAAAGTTACTAAGCAAACAGAAAAATCAGAAGACGTAGATTGTGAGATGACGTCACCATTTCGTGCATTCTTATAAATCACAAAAACATACAACAATGATATGTAAATGAACAACCAACAATGTCAAAGAGATCATATATGGCCCCGGATTTGCGCTACCAGAGTCGGCTCTAAGTCACATCAGCTGTTTTTGAACGCACAGCGGCGTTATGTTAATGATATACTGCTACATATGGATTCGGATGTGGACATTAAGTATGCGACCAAGACACTCAACAAACTGCACCGAACCTTACAGGGACGCGTGATAATGAGCAAGATAATTGTCTTCCATATCTAGCTATACTGATTGCACGGCGGCCAGACACTTTCGTGAGAAGGTCTGTGTACAGGAAGCCAATCTGGACTGGTCAGTATCTGCATTTTACGAGTTTCTCCCCTATTCAACACTAACTCTCTCGTCCGGACACTCTTCTATCGGGCCCAAATGATCTGCACACCTAACACCATAGAAGCGGAAAGGGATTTAATTTTCAATACGCTACAGTCCAACGGTTACCCGTTGAAGGTCATTAAGGGTGTCAGTGAAGCAACCAAGCGAGATTGTGTGCCAACAGTTTCGAAGATGCCGACCTTCATCAAGCTACCTTTCGAAGGTGCCCACATTATGAAGGTAACCGAGAAACGGATCAGAGCGTACAATGCGGCGGAACGGCGGCTGCTTACATCTACAAGACTTATGCTTATGTGTTCGACTAAGACACCGACCACTTGGCAATGCACATCCCACTCTATATAAATTCATCTGTAGCTGAGGAGATAGCTACGTTGGGTGCACTACCCGAAGTTTGGATATCAGAGTCAATGAACATATCCCTAAGTGGTTTCGCACCCGAATAGTGTCTGTAACGACGGAATCGGTTGAATAGGGGAACCGAGCTGCCTCGGCGATCGCAAAGCACTTGTTTACCAACGGCCACCGAGTCAATCCTGTTGAGTCATTCACTGTCCAACTGCGCGATCAGCGGCCTCACACGCATAGGCCATCGTTATCGACCGCGAGCGATCGCCGCTGTGCGTTCAAAAGCAGCTGACTGTGACTTTAATCTGACCCTGGTAGCGCAAATCCGGAGCTATATTTGATCTCTTTGACACTGTTGGTTGCTAATTTGCATATAATTGCTGTATGTTTTTTGTGATTTATAGGAATGCACGAAATGGCGACGTCATCTCACAATCTACGTCTTCTGATTTTCTGTTTGAAAGTTAATAAGGCTCGCATATGGTTAGGACACAATCAATTGCACACGAAGCACAGAGTGATGACATCAAGGTGATACTGTGATCCCCACCTGGAACTAACGATTCTAAACAGCCACTAAGGTTAACGACACAATATGTTAAAACGAACGCCAGTGAATTTCGGCTATAGAAAAGTCTGCAGTTACAAACGTTTATCCATGTATACCTCCATTTTATCGCTCCTCTACAACTTCGTCTTCTTGAGAAATAAGTTGACGTTGGGTCCACGTACCTCTTCCTGCGACGGGATCCACCTGTGTTCATATTCACCGGGGAGCATGATGGTTCAGACTTAGGTCAGGACTACAGTGCCGTTCGTACAGGTAATTAGTAAACACACGAGCACTTGGAACGGGTACGGCCAATATTGCTGACCATAACAATTGTTTTAGAACACACATGACTTCGTGGCTCCTTAATTAACTTTAACTTCGCAATCAAATTCATTCCGGGCAGACTAATGCTGTTACAGGAGGCTAGGTAGATAGTTTCAGTGGATCGCAACTCACTGAATTTGTGCTCACAAGTGATTACTCCGCCCAGCTGCAGAGGTTCTCCTGGCACCTTTCGAAACGTTAGATTTCTAGGTTTGACTAACGCTTTGCCAAGTTTTGCTCATGTCAATCGAGAAATGGTCGTGATAGCAGACACAGTTTCTAGTTGCATCGACACCGGAATGTAATCCCGTTTTACTTTCACTTGTTTTATTTTCCTTGCGAATTCTGTGTGGACTACTACAGAAAGTACTTTCTTCGGTACTCAATCTATCCCACTCGTAATTGGAAATCTCTACTATTTATTACAGAAGACCGAGCAAAATATTCGCTTAGATTTCTTTTTCGTGAGGTACGCCTGTCTGCAGAGCAAACTACCGTTGCAATTAAGGATCAGCGAGAGCCTGTCTATATTTAGATCTCATTTAAAACTTTTATTTCCATACCAAATGTGGTCAAACTTTTTGACCTTCAGCAATCTACGAGTGCATTCATGAAATCCAGGCCGAAGAACACATGATTAAATTAGCTTACCAATAATACCGCTTATTACGCATTCCACGAACTGTTGCATTAAGTTCAAGGTCCATACATGAAATACTGATGAAGCTCACTGTCCCGCCCATCGGAGAATATATCCACTTATTTGTTAACTATTTACTTATTCACCCTCAGAGTACTCCTTTGGTTTATTGTTTAGCTTCTTTGCAACATAACTGCCTTACGGATCCGTGCTCGCACCTTGGCGTACATCACATCATTCTGCCCCGCCTCTCCTTGTGGGATGCGACGGTGGACCATTTTAATGTGCTTTCTAATCACATTTAGTTTAGTCGTTTCACTTTCGAGTGTCGACCCTACATGCGTCATGCAGCCAACTGCTTATTATTATCATTATTATTATTATTGTTGTTGTTGTTGCTCCGTCAACATATTATCGGGCACGCACGCACAATAGGGTCATTTATTTTCCTCGCTTAGTCAGCATAGTTCATTCGTGCGACGTATTACTCTGTTGCGACGTGCTCTCTACATCTGTAATCCGCACACTGGGCGTCCTGGATTTTCTTTGATTTCTACACCGATTTCCTCTCGACTATTTTCTCTGGCAAACTGTTCCGCTATTCCACCACTGAATGTGCAGTGTGTAGTGGATGAACTATCCGCCTCAGATCCGGTACTACAATCTAGTACTGGTGGTCGCGAGTGCTGCTTGACGCGCGCATGTGCCAGAGCGGTCTTAACATAGGGAAGTGACCTAGATGTAATATCCGATGCGTCATTAGGAGAGATCTACTCGAAACCGACGACATGACAGGATGTATAGCCCCAGTCTCCTTAATCGGCTTTCGTACGACATGCTCCGTAAACTAAAGCTTACCTTCATCCTATACAAATTCTCATACTTCGTGTAGTGCTGCAGCATTCAACTGTACAGCTTGTATCTAACATGTTGGCTATCATTTGCCTCTGTGGCGCTTGGCTCCGGTCCTTTTTAGGAGTTCAGGCAGTGTAAGGCATTAGGGAATCCAATCGCATCGGCCGATCGCTTGAACGGGGACCTGCGAAGCATTGGGTGTTATATGTCTATCTTAACCGCTCTTGCTCTCAAACAACCAGCAGGCATCCCCGCAAGCGCAGCGGTTTCACAGCCTTTTCAATGTATACAGTTCAGTTCAGTTAAACAACCATGGTCTGGCCACCAAGTTTCTCGGCATCGAGCACTTTGAGTTACATCCCTGTGGCGACAATTAGAAACCGTAACCAAGCTAAGGAAGAGAAATCAACAACACACAACGTATTCGGCATCGGCTCATGAACTGAGAACTGAGAACTGAGAACTGGTGCGAAGCAGCGAGTAGAGGTTTCTCTGTGTAGCTGCATCATTCGTCGTTTTCGGACATGAACTTTTTATTTATCGTTTCGCTCTTTGTACTTTGCCTCTGCAAATTGTTTGTCTAGTAGCATCTTGAATTTTCCCACTGTGTTCGCTTCTACTATATGCTGAGGCAGGTCGTTCCAGACATTCACCACTCTGCGTTCGAAACAGAGTTGATGGGCGACCCGCTTCAAATCCGGGACGATAAGTTTATACCGGTGTCCTCGCGTGCAGCTTGGTGTGCGCAGATGAAGTAGTTGTCTCAACATGGGGTAATCACCCAGATGTAATATCCGGTGCGTCATGATGAGGTCAACCCTCAGCCGACGATAAGATAGGGTGTATAACCCTAGTTTCTTACATCGGTCTTCGTATGGCATACCTCGTAAGTTGGGAATCAGCCTAGTGGCTACATGCTGCACCCGCTCAAGCTTTTCTACTTCGCCCCGGGTGATGGGACAGTATGCGGGAGTGCCGTACTCTAGCATTGGTCGTATTATCGAGACGAAGAGGCGAGTGGCAATCTCTTCGGACCAAGTGCTAAAGCTGCGCCTGAGAGCCCAAAGCATACGAAGGCTGTTTTGGTACAGCCTATTCGTGTTGTCAATGGACTTTAGGTCGCAGCGTGAGAGTACACCGAGGTCGCGCACGAAAGGAGCGGGATGCAACGGTTGTCCAGCCACTGTGTACGCTCGGCCGTGATCACACTTACCCAACCTCATGAATTGCGACTTGGCAGGGTTGATCGGAAGGTTAACCTCTGTAGACCATGTTGAGAGGCGGTCGAGATCCTGCTGAAGTAAATCGCAATCATTGAGTGTGCGGATTACTCTCCACACTTTCAAGTCATCTGCGAACAAAGCACAATGTGATTGTAGTAGCTGAGGCACATCGTTTATATGGATTAGAAACAATATCGGGCCCAGTACAGTGCCTTGGGGCACGCCGCTGCTCGATGGATACCACTCAGTTAGATGGTTGTCCACCTGGACTCTCCACTTCCGATCAATAAGGAAATTGCTGATCCATTTGTGCAGCGAACCACCAACACCGCACATCCTCAGTCTGTCAAGGAGCACTGCATGGTTAACCTTGTCAAAAGCCTTACTGAAGTCAATGTAAATGACGTCAACCGATTGGCCTTTGTTCAGCGCTTGTAACCATTCGTGCCTCGTCAACAGTAGGTTGGTGATGCACGAACGACCTTTCAGGAAACCATGCTGTGCGGAGGTTAACAGGTTTTTCGACTCGAGAAGTTGCAGAAGGCTCTTCTTCACAATCCTCTCGAGCGTCTTTGCCAAAACTGCCGTCAGGCAGATCGGCCGGTAGTTATCCACTTTGCTTGGGTTACACCTTTCGGGATAGGCTTTACGACTGAGCATTTCCAGTCGTCCGGTAGTAGACCAGTGGATAGTGACCTGTTAAACAGTTCAGTTACAGAAGGTGCAATTATGGTCGATAATGACTTGAGGATTAGTGGGTGTATACCATCTGGCCCAGCAGGTTTCGTCCCGTCAAGATTTGCTAGAATCTTGCGTACATCCTCAATATTGCAGTCCAGGCTGTTAAGTTCGGCTGGAGCGGTGCTCGTCGAACTCATTACAGACACCTGGTCACTTGCGAATACGGAGGCGAAGTGCGTTGCCAATGCTGACGCACGATCTGTACTCGAGGTTAGAGGCTGTCCTTCTGAGCCTTCTAACACTGGGATATTAGCTATAGGCCTTAGGCGCCGCTTCACATATGCGAAGATCCTCTTGGGAGCAGTTTTTGCGGCAGTTGCAAGCTCCTCTTCGAAGCTTCTGCGTTTGCTTGTTTTCGCCTTGTTGCATCGATTTCGCTGGACCTTGTAGGCATTGTAATCCTCATCAGAGCCAGATAACACGAATTTGTTCCATAGTCTACGTCGCCGTCGGGCCATTTTGTTGTACTCTTTGTCAAACCAATGTGGTTTGACTGGTCCAACTTTCCGAAATTTGAGGGGCACAAATCGGGCGCACAACGATTTCACTCCTCTTTAATGATAGCCCAACAGGTTTCAATAGATGAATCCTGTGGTAAAGACCAGTCTATCTGGCTCGCTGCTCGAATGAGGCCATTAAAGTCCGCCTTCCAATAGTTGAAGGTTGACTCTAGTGGGAGAGGATTTGGTAGCGGTAATTCTAAACTGCCTATGATCACTGAGTGGTCACTCGCTCCCAGAGGTTCTAAGACTTGAATGTTATGTATACGCTGCTCACAGCTAGTCAACAGCAGGTCTAAGCATGATGGAGTTGCGCGCGCTGTAATGCGTGTCGGTTGGTTGATGTGCTGTGTGGCCGCGGTTTCAAATATCAACTCCGTAAACTTCCTCACGACTTCACAGTGGCCGGGGAGAAGTTCAGCTTCAGGCCACTGTATTCGGGGCAAGTTGAACGTTGGAGTCCTTGCATGGGAGGAATATAAATGAGAAATAGGACACCGAACGCGAAGATATCACTAATTTCTGAATCGCGTCAGTTCACATACGCTCTCCTGTGGCTGATCCTGCTAGACTCATCCAGTACGAAAGTTTACACCAGTCCGATGATCCTTCCATTAGATCTTTCATATATTCCATCCCATCGGCCAGGCATTTTAAATATGTGCCCAGTCCTACCCATCAAGTTGCTGTCATTCCTACCACCGGGATTTCCCAATCTCTTTCTTTTCGTTCACTTTTGGCATAGATGTGCTCCCCGATTTCACGAGCGCATTTGTCTCGATCTCGCGATATGCCCATCGGTGTTTCAATAAATATCTGAACACTTTTTCGAGCCCTATACCCAAGCACTATGGTCCGCAAAAGAAAAGATGAAAGCTATCATCAGTACGTCGGCACGTCGCGCCGACGCGTCGCCGACACGCGATCACCACCAGTCGCGAAACACCTAGATATACCGCGAGGTCTGCCGTGCTCACGCGGATTCGAACCGGCGACATCAAGTTTACAGCGTAATCGTGTAATCCTTTCGGTCACTGACCACATCGCCTACGGTGAACTGTCAGACGCCTTCCTAACAACTACCAGCGATTCCCCAGGTTGCTCCCAGTGCCTTGCTTCGTTCATTTGTACCATGGACCGAACTGTGAGATAGTACCACGGGGAACTGGTTTGCCTGGATTATGATCTCACCTAGCTGCGCAGCACGAAGTCTGGCATCGCTCGAAGGACTCCCACTGTGATACTGCAAGCCGGCAACTCACCCTCAATCATTCTGTAGTCAATAATGAACTCTACACATTCTGGACTTTATTTACGTCTAAGGATTGTACTCACTCCATGGTATCTGTACTCGATACTAACTCAGTTGAAGTCAAGTAGGTTCTTTGGGCACCCAGGAATAGTGGAGTATGACGCTGTGTCACGTGAACCTTTGATAGCGAGGAAAAATAAAAGATTACCGCGCCTAAGCATGCTCCCACGACAAGTACCGCGAGGGGTCAGCGTGTAAACACCTCGTAGCATGAACCACTTGAGGTCTTGTCGTTCCCACTGCGTCACTTGTAATGCCTCTGACCCACTTATCTTTTGTCACGATTATCATTCCAGTTTGATATGAATGCTTCACCAGTTAGCCACTGATTTACTCGGCCCGGTGCAACTTGGTGAAATCATGAGTTCCCGACCGGCTCTAAATGTGCTTTAAGATGTTTTGCATGCTTAGTGAGTGGACACGGAAAATCGCAACATATGGGAATACCCAGTGAAACGGAAAACATGCTGATCCGGTGGCTCGAACCTCCAGGGATGGTAGAGACTGTTAGACGTGAAACGCAGGATGATAGTATTCAGACTTCTATGAATACTTCATTCACATGTACTAACTATTGACATTCCTAAATACTTCACAATTATGGTCGAATGCAACAGACCATCACCATTGGTTTAAAACTTTCGGTAACCGGCAGGCTTCTAATGACGCCGGCT